TTTCTTTCTTTCTTTCTTTCTTTCTTTCTTTCTTTCTTTCTTTCTTTTTGTTTAAAGTTTATTTATTTATTCTGAGAGAGACACAGAGAGTGCATGAGTGGGGGAGGGGCAGAGAGACCCAGAGAATCCCAAGGAGGCTCTGCCCTGACAATACAAAGCCTGATGTGGGGCTCAATCTCATGAAACATCAGAAATTAAGGGTCGGATGCTCAACCAACTGAGCCACCCAGGGGCCCCTCATAGTGCATCTTCAAGACTGACAAGAGTGGGACATAGCAGTGGGGAAACTTAAATATGAGATAGGAAACCATGAAAATCCTAGAGGAGAAAACAGGCAACAACTTCTTTGACTTCAGCCACAGAAATTTCTTGCTTGACAGGTCTCCAAAGGCGAGGGAAATAAATGCAAAAATGAACTATTGGGACCTTATTATCAAGATAAAAACTTCTGCACTGCAAAGGAAACAATCAACAAAACTAAAAGGCAACCAACAGAATGGGAGAAGATATTTTCAAATGACATATCAGATAAAGGGTTAGTATCCAGAATGTATAAAGAACTTACCAAACTCAACACCCGAAAAACAAATAATCCAGTGAAGAAATGAGAAGACACGAATAGACACCTTTCCAAAGAAGACATCCAGATGTCTTCTGGGCCACAAGGCCAACAGACACATGAAAAGATGCTCTTGGTAATTCTTTTTTCTTTTACATTTATTCATTTTTGAGAGACAGAGCACAAGAAGGGGAGGGGCAGAGAGAGAAGGAGACACAGAATCCGAAGCAGGCTCCAGGCTCTGAGGTGACAGCACAGAGCCCGACGTGGGGTTTGAACTCTCAAACCATGAGATCGTGACCTGAGCTGAAGTCAGACACTCAACCGACTGAGCCACCCAGGTGCCCTGCTCTTGCTAACTCTTAAAAGGAGATAACGGGTGCCTGGGTGGTTCAGTTAGTTGAGCGTCTGACTTTCGATTTCAGCTCAGGTCGTGATCTCACAGTTCATGAGCTGGGCCCTGCATTGGGTTCTGCATTGACAGCCGAGAGCCTGCCTGGGATTCTTTCTCTCCCTCTGTACCTCTCCTGCTCACACGCACATGTGTGCGTGCACACACACACACACCACACACACACACACACACCGTCTCTCTCTCTCTCAAAACTAAACTAAACTAGGGGC